CTCCCGTATGGATGCGGTGATGGCGCTGGAGCGATGCCAACCGGGTGAACGTCCCCCCACACTCCTCGCAATAGAAGGGACGCTCCCCAGAGTGAGTCTGCTGGTGTCTTTTCAGCCTGAGCAGCTGGACGAACGCCATGCCACATTCCTGACACTTATAGGGCTTGTCTTGCCGGTGGATCACCTTATGTTTGGAAAGCAGGTTAGGCTTCTCGAAACCTTTGCCGCACGTCGGACAGGCATAAGGTTTACAGTCGTCTTCCTCAGCCTTCTGGTTTTCTGCACAGGGCTGATCAGTATACTCAACAGCGTGCTGGTTACGGTGCGCTACGGACCAGGGGTTCCTAGCCATGCCTGTTCCCAAGATCACCATGGAGCGCTCTATCTTGTGCACGTTGCGTAGGTGCCTCCAGACGTCAGCTGTGCGAATGAAACCCTTGTCACACTCCGGACATTTGTGCGGCCTGTCGCTAGAATGAATGAGCTTGTGCATTCGCAGATTCGCCGCACGGAAGAACTCCTTGGCACAGACGGGACATCGGTAGGAGTTTTCCACGAGGTGAGTTCGCTTATGTTCCTGCAGCTCACTCCTACCCTGGAAAGAGGAACCGCACTTCTTGCACCGACATGGCAAAGCTTCCGCAGAGACAGGCTCCAGGTCCTCGCCAAACGCATCGGCAACAATGGTGTTTTCATTACCATCATGTAGCCTTCTCCATGGTTTCTTGGACCGCTCAGAGGAAGAGTGCTCTAAACCCTTATCTTCACAATGCGGGTTGCAGTTGGTACTGGAGGGGACAAATATGCCAGCTGTACTCTCACCTTCCTTCTGGTAACCGGTCTCAAAGGCTTCTGTGTCTTCACACTGCAACTCTGCAGGAAGCTCCTGCTTATCCGAAAGTCCACAAGGACTGTGTGTCTGCGAGTTCCTCATCTCTACCCCTTTCTGGAGGCTGGATGTGCAGCCCACCCGCTCACTGGTCCTTCTGGAGTAATGGGAATGCTTCTCACCTGTGTCACCTGCGTTATTTGCAGAGTCCCAGTCCACATTCACATCCATCCTCCAAAGCGCACGCTGTGTTCACCCACAACTCGGCAACGATGTGTACACCAAGAGCTTTGAGTACTTCATGGTAAGTCCATCTCATTCTCAGCTTTCTTTACAGTCCTCCCTAGAAAATAAAACACCCATTCATCAGTGATTTTTCCGATATTAACATCGGGTAAAGTTATCACAGTGAAGATTTTTTTCCAATTAAAGGAACGGGACAGACTACTAGTTATGCAGTAGGAGAAAGACTCATCTATTACATGTAAAATATACATTCAGCATACAACACACACAGACTGCATTTAATGAAGTAAATCCTCTATCATAATCCACTCTTCCTACAAATAAAAATTGATAAGCAATTCCCATTTTACATTCACCTAAAGATGAGAAGTCTTCAGAACTCGGGAGTGCAAACACTTTAGGCAAAGACCTACACCGCAACTGCCCCCATCACAGGTCTTTTGCCAAGGATTCATGCTCAGTCCTGGTTTTTACCCTGCTAAATATGAACTAGGAGCACCTAGTCAGTGTCACACCAGTCACACAGTGTTTTCCTTCAGAAAACCGTCAGGTAACGCAACGAGACCCAGAAACTGTCCAACAGCCAAAACCAGAAGCAATGTACAGGGTGCTGGAAGCTCGGCAGCACCTTTGGCCTCTCATCCTGACCTGCATTACTTGAGGATATTTGGGGTCCCCATGCCACTACCAGCATGCACCATGCAAAGAAACAAGACATGAAAGAGCTGTCCAGAAATCTTACTAATCATCCTCCCGGGCTTCAAAGCACGGTTAGCAATCCTCCAGAGCTGGCCTGCTGGAACAGCTTCAAATTCCCTGGGTAAAGCCCCTTCGTGGACCAGGCTCACTAGCAGAAAATAAGCGATCGGTCAGAAACCCCTGCCGGAGCCACAAACTGTCTTGTGAAGAAGACCCGTTTGTTTATGCCATACCCAGCGTGGATTCACAAGGTTTTCTACATTTGTCCCAACAGCCTGTTGACTTTCAGGGAGCTTTCACCTGCCTGGTTAAAACCCGCACTGCCACCAAATTGCTTGTTTAAGCTCAGAAATTGCATTTTTTCCCCATCCTGAGGGATACTTTGCCTGTTCCTCCACCCCCCCACCTTCTCCTTCACACCCACTTTTTGTATTCCCATCACTCCACTGTTGTTCGCTTCCTCGCAGCTGCTTTTGTCTGGGCACGAATACAAGCACATACACCTATAAGAACACACAAAACAACGTCCGTAGTTCTGTATTTCCATATGAACATAAATATAAAGCTTGTCTATTTCGTTTCAGTAGGTTTAAATAGCTACAGAGACCCTACAGCAACGTGCCTAAAGTGAAAGGTCTCGTTCACGTCCCCGAAAGGCCAGCTTCATTCCGGACACAAGCCGCGCTTTCTTCTGCCAAGACGCGGAAAACAAGCCTCAATTCCTCGTTGTCATTAGTCGCTGCCTGGAACAGAATGGCTCATGCCGTGACCGTTCCCATCGGTGGGAGAAGAGGAAACTATTCCTCACCTGCGCTCCAGCAGCGCATCGCAGGCGGGAACTCATCCGCTGCATCCTTCCTTGGAGGGAAACTTTTCAAGGGAGGTTTGGCTTAGGAAACTCCCTGACAAAGGCCAGCGTGTCCACAGGAGGAATATTTAAACCACGATGGAGGTTTAAAAAGAAAAAAAAAAAACCC